ACGATACTGAAGACCATCATCAGCCTGATATTTGTTGACAAGAGGGGTCTGGCGCTGGATGTGGGCTCTCAGGTAAAGCAAAGTCAGATTTTACATTATTTAGTCTTGAACTTGAGCATACACCTCAGGGGAAGGCGACGTTATGTGTTGAGCATAACTGACATGTAAAGGAAATTTCAAACGGTGTTGCATTGCGAGAAACACGAGATGCTCATCAGTCGAACATGTCGAAACGTGAAGAAGCCAGTCACACATCTCAATTTACCGTCGAGATTTTTCTACATCAGAAACTGAGCAACGAGAGTGACAAGAAACATAAAAGTCATGTTTGTACTCCTGATATTGCCATAGATTAATAAAAGTGTGACAGTAAATGTTCTCAAACTTCCGTGTTAGTGAAACTAGTTCGAAGCAGCAGCAACGATTCTGACCAAAAGTTGCTCCATTTTCAGACAAATAATCACATTTTTAATTTGCGAAACATTTAAGAAATGTTATTTTCACAGTTGAAAACTTCAAATCAGTTGATTTGGTGACACCAGTTTGAATCACGTGTCTGAAGTATGACATCTGTTGCGACAAAACTCCTGCTTGTAGGCACAGAAATAAAAGCCTCTAACTCGTTTTCTCATAATTAATTTGTTGTAATTTCTCCTTTTGAAATGATTAGGCCTGGTCCGAATAGCAATTTCTTGTCTCCGGATATTCGGCCCAATTACTGACGAATATCCGGATACGGTATGATATCCTGATACCAGCACAGCGAGCGAATAGTTGGCTATTCGGCTATTTGGGTCGAGCTCTAGAAATGATTAAAATCTCAAAAACTCAACGTCATTTGTACCATTTAACACAGTTAAAAGGTCGTAAGTCATAAAAAAAAAAAAAGAGAAAGATTTTCTTTTATTAATTATTTTTCAGAAATGGAAAAAAAAAACCTGCAATCACCATGTACAACATTTTTCCAAGTGCCCACATGTAGAATAGAATAGAGGAAATAGAATAGAATATAACTTTATTGATCCCTTTGGTGAAAACCTCAGGGAAATTGCTGAGGTCCAATATTGGAGAAAAGTCTGGGACTTTACACACTTTAGATAATTTACATTTTTAATTTGTCTTCTACATTCAGCCGAAACATTTCTGAATTTTTCTCATGTGACTGTTGGACACACCTGTCGTGGCTTCACAGTTGCACCGTTTAACAGATCATTTGGTTTCTCACAGTCTGTGAATTGCACGTGCTTTACTTTTATGCAGAAAGTGCGCACAACCTTTCCGGATGTCATTGGAAATGATTGGAGGTGAATGTGTATCTGTATCTGAATGAATTCTGTTTCCTTCCTGCAGTTCATCGTCTACTTCATTTACTTCGCCATTCTTACCGTCGTCTACCTTGTGTGCGCTGCTGTCGTCATCGTCCGTCACTACAGAAACCGGGACGGGGGAGGAGGCGGGGCCGGCGACCAGGCCACGCCCACTGAGCTCAGCCCCGTGGCTGAAAATTCAGAGGCAGAGCCTTTATCTAACGGCAAAAGTGCCAAATCATAAAGATAAGGGATGTGTGTCGCCCTGTAACTGCTGTCTGTTATCTAGTTGTGTTAATAAGCCGTTCAGACTGAGTGGGATCAATCGTTTTTTGCCCTCTGACGGAGAGGCGTGTTCAGCACTGGCCTTAATCATAAAAGTGCCTCATCTGCTGCTTAACCTTCCTGCACTACACAAGTCAGCTTGTGTCTGACGTCTGGGGGGAGGTTTGTGTCTGTGTGCGACGATCAGGTGTGACAAGAAGAAGAAGACATTTAATGAATAATGCGGCGAAGCACAAGATGGCAGCGTGCTTCAGTTTCATGAACAAACATTTTAATCAGGAAAGTCTTCAGACCCTTTCACATTTTTACCAGCCACGACTGTTCCTGTGTGTTTCTGTGGACAGATTTTGTCAAAAAAAAAAAGATGCTGTTACAGGACTTCCAGGTGTGACACCAAAGTGAAATTTGAAGGCGAAAAAGTAAAGAAATACGACATTTACGGGATTTCCACTTCACCTACTAGAGATTGTGGGAGTGAAGCTAGAGAGAGGATGGATTATTTTACTTTCTTTCATTCCCCCCATAAGTATCTTTTCAATTGTTCTCATCTAAACATGACTGAACCAAAGGAGCGCTTTGGTTTCTTTCAACCCCGGGTGTTTCCAGGTATTGTGGCCGCTGCTTCTTTCACCGTCTTCCAACTCGGCCTTCAAACGCTGTAAAGCTCAAAATCTGTCCACAGACTCAAACAGAAGGCGAAAGTAAAGTACGCCTCGCTGTCACCGCTGGTAAAGAAAGGCAGGACAAGCTAGTTGGATCATTCCCCAGAGGAAGCGAGGCCGTATTTAAGGGTCGGACCACCCCTCAGACTTCCTGTACACGAGGTCACATCATCGTCACAAGTTGTGTGCCTCAAGTTTTTTCCCCCAAACTACAATTTTGAGTCACCGTATTGGACAGAAATCTGTGTTTTCTGTTATTTCTGACCAACAAAAATCTCTTTAATGCTTGACTAAATGAAACTCAGATTAGCCAAACTGTTTCTAAAATCATTTCATTTCGATGTCACGAAGGGCGACCAGCAGAAATTCCCCCACGCAGGAACAAAACTGAGTATAATCAGGCCTTAGTTTTTATCTGTAAATGGGATATTTCCATCTTGGATTTCTCTTAAATGTCCAGCACAGTTCGATAACGTGTCCTTGGGGCGGTTGCTGTGGAGAGTCTGGAAACTTCCTGTGAACCCAGAGCGGGACCTTTTTATTTTTATTTTTAAATGCAATGACCAGAACATTCTTTTATTTTTTTGTATTCCAAACATGAAACAAATACGTAGAAATCACAGCTGCAACCTGCTGGACTTTCCTCTTTCTGCCTTTCTAACATCTACACTCCTATTTTACCGAATGTTACAACTACTGCATGTCAGTGCATTTAAAAACAACAACAACAAAACAGACTACTACTACGAGTATGATCGCGCTTTAGTTACTGGTAGTGGTTCTCACATCAGATCATTAATATCTGTCTGCAGCTTTCATACATGATTTAGCTGTAATTAATGTAGAAGCAGCACAACGAAGACATTTAATCTGTATTTAATTCAGTTTCTTTTTAATGTAGCTTAGCTGCTTGTCCGGCGGCCATTTTGGCAGCAACAAACCACCACAAAGTACTCTTTAGACCCGGTCGTCCTTTATTTTTTTTTTGGGTTAAAGGACGACCGTTTTTACTTGCAGTGTTACTCGATCCAACAGGAAAACGAAAGCTGAGCGGCGACACGGAGGTCCGCGTTTGTCATGTTCACCGAGTTTTAGCGGGACTACGTTGCTTCCATTCAGAATGTACAGATGTTTGTTTTATTTTGATTGAAATAATTGCTGAGAAATGACTGTGAACCTGTCCGAATGCTGTAAGAAAAACAATCAGATGTTTATTTTTTATTCACAAATAAATTACGTTTGGTGGACGAAAAAACTTCCTGATCAGTTTTTGTTTGAAATTTTTTTGTTCTTTGTTTACTCATTTGCTAAAATACTACAAGCCCTTTACTCGATGAGAAGTTGCAACCAAATCTTCTGACCCGATGGCCTACATGGCAAAGGCTCAGGAGTGCTAGAGCTGCTTAACCTAGAATTATAACACTGATCACAGAAGCATTAGCAGACAACAAAAAAAGAGACTAGAAATGACAAAGAGGCAAAATGGCATTAAAAATCAATGCAAAACGACAGAAATGTGACACAGAAAGACCTCAAAGCAAAACACAATGAGAACAAAGGTGCAAAATGACCAAAACGTACCACAAAACGACTTCACAGAGATGCACAACTACCAAAATATGACCCAAAGAGACGCAAAATGACAACAAAGACTCTCAAAATGAAAAGAAAAACATCAAAATGACCAAGATGGAACCAAAAAACTGCCATAAAGAGATGCAAAATGTCACAAAATTAACAATCTGAGACAATAAATGGGACAATAAATGACTGTGTGGTTTCTTCTTGCTCCTCTGTGAGTTGGTGGCTTTGAGTTTCATCTTCCAAGTTTATGTTTTTTGACATTTTCTTTTCATTTAAGCCTAGAAAAGTCAACAAATACAAGACATTCTGTATATTTTTTAGTGTATGACTGACTAAAAAGTAACAACAAAGACCAAAGTTTAAAGTTAAAATCTAGATTTATATTCATGATGATTCAAACTTCCTCCTTACTCTCCTGTCTCATAGTTCTCTCCATGTGTTTACGTGATCAAAACGCAGCGTTCCAGGATTTACAGATGGGTTTGTGAAGCTCTCTTGTTTGGCCAGCTGCAGTTTCAGATCACAGCATGAAGAACTCTCATTTGTTTTTCTGTATTTCTTCGCAGGACGCCACTTTTTTTTTGTTGTTTTTTGTTTTTACAGCTGAACCCGAGGGTGTGACGAACCTCCTGTTTGAGAAATGCGGTCGTTCTGGCCTGAGAAGAACCTGTTTTGAGAAGCGTCTCGGTGAGATCGAGCGAGTTAAGATTCGAGGTGTGCGATGGGAGTCCATGCCTCATTTGCATTACTTTGGTTATCCTGTCAACTCCTTCACTGTAAACCCACTCCAACAGACTTGTAGCTTGTCAAAGTCAAACCCTAAAAGCTCCTCAGTCTCTTTCGGGGGCAATGAAAGCATTTAAAGCTTCGTTTTTAGGCACATTTTTCTTAAAGTTAGCACGAAGATTTCTATTAGTGCCATTAAATACACGCCATAATCGAAAAATACAAGGTATGATGACTCTTTTGATGGGTTTTTTGTGTGTGTGCACGGATAAAATGCAACAAAAAACTGCCTTTGTGTTTCAGTTTATATCATCTGATCTCAGCGACTGCATCGTGGGGATCTTCTGCCCTCTAGTGGCTCAACGTTGCCTTCAACAGAAATTTTTCTCTCTTTTGTTTCCACTGTTGAGGAAAAAGAACATTTCAACACAAAAAGTTGATATTTTGTTGGCTTTATTACACACAGATCATATAAAAACACTAAATATATATATAGTTTTTATTGGAAAATGCCAACCTCCAATAAATAGACAAGTTAACAGGATGCGAACATGTCAGTGCTTCTTGTCTATACAAGTATGGTGTGTGTTTGTGAAGCTTTTTACAATTTTAAAAAACATGTAGTGTTAAAACAACTGAACAAAATGAAGTCTAATTAGAAGTGAAGGACATAAAAATCAAGTGCAAACCCTTACATCGACTGCATTTAGAGACAGAAAACCAAAATATTGAAACCTCAGAATGAAAAGCTAAATACCAGAAACAATCCCAGACATTCAATGACAGAAAAAACAAAAACAAAACAAGGAAAATAAATGCTCCAGCTTTCTCTGTATTTCACTTATTTACCCACACGAACACGCGTCAAAGCTGCTGCTGTGAAGTCAGCCATAAAACACAACACAAAGCCTCCGACTGTTGCCCAAACAAACACAATAGCCTCCTTTTATTTCCTGCTGCCGTCAGCGCGGCTCCTCCCCGCGGCCGGAGCTCTTCTCCAACACAAATCATCCTCCGCCGGTGGTTTAAAGAGCTCGAGGTACCGGTCGGTGTCAGGTATGCAGTCCATCGCAGGAAAACGCTCCTCGCTGGGCTTCCTGGTATTGTTTCAAACTCGTTCTGCCTCCTCGGAAAATCCAGAAACCCTGCCGAGATCAAGTGTCTTTTCTCATTTGCGTTTTCTTCTAAAGTTTCTTTCCCTTTGTGGCGTCTTTTAAACTTTATAAGAACGTGGCTAGGAGTCGATATTACCAGGTTATAGCGCGATAAACAGATGTTCCCCACTGAAAACATCTGGTTTAGTTTGTTCAAAGTAACATGCAGAGAAACAGATGAGTCTTAAACAAACCTTAATACTGCCAACATTTTGTCGCTTCTAAAGCCATCGTAAAATCCTATATTTTTGCACCTAAAGATGCATCATTTCACTCTGTACATATTTAAAATTTAACAACGGACTGATTCTGCACCCTGATCTAGTCATTGCTTTTGCGCTGTATCGCATATTCTCATTCCATCAACATTTCAGTTGCATCCGCAGGTCTTCACTGGGTGTTGTTTGGCCGCCTATGCCATTGGTGTTTCCTCTGCCAAACGACAAAAGAAGAGAGTCACACACTGCCTTAAATGTGCTGAAACCCTGGACGTGGAGATGTAAGAGATATTTACCGTCACTTTGTCCCTTCTGGTCACTGTGAGTGGTGCCGTTGGACTCGGCAGCGTCTCTTGCTGGTTAAATAAATATAGATATACGGATGTCAACTTTAACATCACCGTAAAAAGAAATAGTAAAGAAACGTCACTGTGGCTGAAACTTACCTGACCTCTCCTGCTTCCTCCAGAAGTCTGAGGTTGAAAGTGAAAAACAGAACAGTCAACAGAAAATACAGCACAGAGGAGTCACAGTAAAGCCCTTCACAAGCACAACACTTGTTTTGTAAGCACTGACAGAGGAAACGTTGCACTGACCTGCTTCCCATGGCATGGAGGCTGCAGAGAGAGCATCACAGCAGAGAACGTGTTAAAGAAGGCAAGTTTGACTCATGAGTTAATTTCACAGTAACCACTCAAGAACTGGTTTAATCTGGCCGAGCCAAGACGGCAACAAACAAACCACTTTCCCACCTCGATTATTCTTATTTGTTTTGGACGTCTTACCTTTTTCGAAGAACCACATCCCTAAAAGAAATCAACAGGGTGATTACAATGAGACTACAGCCATCATTATCAGCCTAAATTCAAACATTTTTAAATGAATGCTTTAATGCATCTTCTTTTTTCCCAGCTGACATTGAACGCGTCCTGATTTCTCACCTGCTTTCAATCTGTGAACGACACCCAGCAGCAGCACGGCCACCAGCAGACAGATGAAGACGGTGACGCCGGCGGATATTTTTAATTGCCCCTCCTCAGTTGCTGTAAAAGGTAAGAGACTCTTCAGTTGGTGCTCATGTTTAAAAAAAAACCAACGCGATTAGTGTATTCGAAACGCTTCTCTGCGGTTACTCACGAGCGTCTGTGTCGAAAGGGTTGGAGATGGGTTGGCTCGTCTCATGACTTACTGCATTGCTTAACACGCAGCTGAACTCTTTTATGTTCGCACTGATCTCCTGGAAATGCAGGGAAACACTAAGTGTTAGCAAACATTTAGTTTTGCTCACTCGTATTTCACTGCAATACAAAATCCTGCACCTCTACGGAAACGACAAAAAGTTGAACTTCACTGATGATTTCTTCAAAAATTGGAAACACTCAGTAACCTACAACATTTTTCCAAGTTACAGATACTGGGGGAAAAATGTGACTTCCATAGTTCACATTTTTAATGAGTTTCCATACTTTCCTCCCTGCAGTTCAGCCAAAAAGTCCCAGAATTTATGTCACGAGACTGTTGGTCTCAGCTGTTTTTTTGCACCACCTGGTTATTGCAAATGGTTTATTTATGTCTAAACTTTAAATGAGACGTCTATCGCTGGCACAAAGAAAATTCTGCGCTCTTCGACACAACGGTGAAGGTGTCAGTAGCTCAGCTGCAACCAACATTTAAGTGGCTTTTCGGCTGAACTGAGAGAAGTGTTTTCACAGAGCAGATAGGAGGCAAGTCCATCCATCCATTCATCATCTATACAACACTTAATCCTCACTAGGGTGGTGGGGGGCTGGAGTCTGAAGGCAGGTTCACCTGGACAGGTCACCAGTCTGTCTACACTTAGAGACAGACAACCAAGCACACTCACATTCACACCTGCGGACAATTTAGAATCACCAATTAACCTCAACTTCGGAGAACCCAGAGAGAACCCGTGCTGCACGGGGAGAACATTGTAAACTCACTGGGACGCGAACCGGCGACCTTCTAGCTGCGAGGCAACGGTGCTAACCACCGAGCCACCTTCCTAGATAGGAGGCAGGTATGGAAGCAAATTAAAAATGTGAACAGCAACATATCTGTAGTATGTAGTCTTTTTTTTTTCTCTTTTTTTTTTTGTAAATATTGGAAACAGCCACGGATATATGTTGTCCATGTTGAGTCCTTTTTTCTTGTTTTATAATTTATGATACTGCACAGAAGACTTTTCTGAGCTCTCCTCACTTCCAGCAGTGTTGTGCTGTTTTGTATAAAGGTGCAGAACTTTATATTGAAGTGCAAAAGAAGCCCACAAGAGAGGGAAAAAAAACATCACCCAAAAACTGCTTGGAGTTCAGAAGTGTATGAACTGCACTTTTTTTTTTTTAGGTAAAATTAAGTACATTTTTTATAACTTTCCTGTTTCCATCCAATCCGTTCCAATACAATATTTAGACATACGAACAAACTACATGATGGAAACACGACTACAGCGATAACCCCACAGATAAAAACGTTCCCACTAGATCAGTAATACCTTGTCAATAATAAATTCCTTCGTAACGGAATTCGTCACAACGGTATCATCAGCTGTCCACGCGTAGGTGACTGGCTCTGTGCCGTGTCCATCACAGCTCAAAGTGCATCTGATCTTGCCCTCTTCGCAGGATAGTGAGACAGTGGGCACGGGCACGGCAGCTGTTAGCGCAGAAATAAATTAGCAAAATGCACGACAACCTTCTCTTACATGTCGTATTTTCTTTTTTTTTTCTTGCTCTCAAAGTCTCAACAACTGTGTTAATTCATCCACTTACACATGACGACGAGTCGAACCGTCGAGCCCTCGACGTTGTTGATCTCCGGTGTGTACACTCCACTGTCATTTAGAAGCAGTCCTGTGATTGTCATCACTCCGGTTGAGGTGTTCAGGTGGCCCCGCTCTTTAAACAGACGCAGATTGTGTCAGCTCATCAGCAAAAGTCACAAACGATTCAAAATGCGACACGTTTACAAAGCAATCGTCAAACTCTGGACACGGTCTACCTTTAAACTGACGGTAGCTGTCCACTTCAGCTCCATACCACTCGATGGCCATGTCAGAACCAGATTTCCAAAGCACGCTTTTGATGGTCCCAGAACCGGCGTTTGGTCTGAGCTCAACTTCACCGCCCAGCTTACCGTAGACTGTGGTCTCTGCAAGGACAAGAAGAGGCACAATGTGGTATCCATTACATCCAAACATTCTTTAAACAGGCCGTTTGTTGACTGGACTCTGGTCAGATTTTAGATACCAGAGGTTAATCTGTGCAACAACAAGTGGGTTGTTCTTTAGCGTAACGGATGCACAGGTCTACCATTGTCAATCATTTAAGAAAATGGAAAACAAACTGGTGTTTTCCACACCCGCAGATGACATCCGTTAGTGCCTTGATTTGCCCACAACCCGAAGTGAAAAGAGGAAGGAGACCAGATTTTTTCCTCTTAAAAATGTACTTAAAGCAATCAATTGGTTTTGACACTAGTTGGAGATTGATCCCAGTTGTGTTCCTTCCTTTTATATTCTTCTATTTTCTGCTGTGCTGTTACTTTCCTACTCTTCACCTTTGACCCAGCTATAATACTTCCTCTTTTACTCTATTTTAGTCTACGCTGTTCTAATATGAAATACTTGCACACTGTAACACTAATGTAATATGTAGTGCAGTTTCACTTTAATGGCAAATGATTTAATGTTGCACCACCACTAAGTTTTAAGTCGTCAGTGAAGTATTTCATCTTAGAACCATTAAAAAAAGAATACTGCAATAAAAATACAGGCCCCAAAGTAGAAACTCAATGCAACAACAGTGAATACACCTGATTACTGACACAAAACTGAGTACACTTGTTATTCCCAGTCAGCCTTGACAGCGAAGCACGGAGGTGGCACTATGATGAATACGGGGTGTCGGGCAGATGGCATTTATAGACGGCGCCATGAATGTGTGTTTATACTAAAATACACCACGTTCCAAACTGTATGTGTCATAAATATTTTTTTTTTGTTTTTCAATTAAACCCATGGATGGTATTGTGTCTCCGGCCTCTTTGGATGACTGACATCAATCTGCCAGGTGAGCCCAATTAAAGGAAAAACGACTAAAGAAGGACGTTCCACATTATTATGGAGTCCCACGAACATCAAGGTGTGGGTTCCTCCAGAGGGGTGCAGTTATGCATCCAATGCTCACAAACAGAAACGGCTGCAGTGGGCCCAGAAATACATGGAGATGAGTTTTCACACAGTCTTGTTCACTGATGACCACCACGTCCCATCAGGGCTTCGACGTCAGCAGGGAGGTGGTGGAGTCATGTTTTGGACTGGAATTGTGGGGAAGGTGTGAAAACGACCTCTGAAAAGTATGTGGAGTTTCTGACTGTCCACTTTCTTCTATGGTCCAAAAAGAAGAACCGTGCTTTGCGTTACAAAAAGCTGCATCACTGGCTGCTATGGGCATCAAAGGAGACAAACTCCTGGTGTGGCCTCCATCCTCCCCAGACCTCAACCCTACTGAGAACCTTTGGAGCGTCCTCTCCATCTATGAGGAGGCAGCAGCTCTGGGAGGTTATTCTGACATCCTGCAAAGAAATTCAAGCAGAAACTCTCCAGAAACTCACAAGTTCAGTGGATGCAAGAATTGTGGAGCTGCTATCAAACAAGGGCTCCTCTGTTAAAATGTAACTCGACCTGTTTAGATGTTTTTGATTGAAATAGCTTTTGTTGTCAGTAAATATGACCTCTGAATGCTGCAGTTCTTTTCAACCTATAAAATGTTTTGGATCTCTGCTGTGTGTAATAATTTGGAACAGTTTGATGACTTGAAAATGCTGCTGACTGTCATTTGTATCGACTATAATAAAAAAAAAATCATTTGCATAATAATTTGGGCGACGGTCATCGACTTCCGGAAGAGGAGCACAGCGACACGGCTGCTGCACATCGCCCTGGTGGAGGAGTACAAGTACCTGGGTGTGTCTGCCTCGACAGCAGACTGAGCTGGAGGACCAATGCTGACTCTGTGTACAAGACAGGGATGAGCCGCCTCTATTTTCAGAGGAAGCTGAGAACGCATGCAGCAGGATGTTGGAGGTCTATTACCAGTCTGCTTCGGCCCTGTACTTTGTGGGAGCAGCAGCAGAGCCACTAATAAGAACAGACTGAAAGCCGGCTCTGTGATTGGCTGCAAACTGTTTTGAAGCTGTGGTGGGAAGGAGGACTTTCAATAAGCTGTTGGATAACCCTGACCACCAGCTCTACCCCCTGCCGGACAGGCAGCGAAGCAGCTTCGCCAACCGGCTGGTCCAGCTCTGCTGCCACCAGGACAGATGCAGGAAGTATTTCCTGCTCCAAGCACTAACTCTGTTCAACACATCAGACCTGACTGGCAGAGAGCTCTCAGCCCTCTCTGCCTTGTAGCATCTGGTTTCGACACGCACACTTTTGTTGTACTCTTGTTTTGTAGCACATTATTGGCACTACACTTCAAGACATATTACACTTATTGTACATTTTGCATGTATTTTTTTGCTTACTTTGTGTATTTATGGTGGTGGTGACTTTACTCCCTGTGCTGCAACAACCAAATGTCCCCTTGAGGACTAATACAGTATTTCTATTCTATTTGAATTAGCTGACAAGATGACTCAGAGGCAGAAATGTGGTGTCTCCCAAACAGTATGAGCATAGACATCTGAGTTCACACGATGAGGCCTGTAGTTTTGTAATAAATCTAAGCTGGTAGTTGGTAAGTTTACATACTGTTAAACTAAATACTGCAAGCTGCTACGGTTTGGCATCATTTGACATTTACAGTCGTCCTCAAATGTATTCATACCCTCAAAAAAAAATCACTGAAATGAGTTGAAATTGACAAAAGTAATAATAAATAAAAATTTAATAAAAATCATGACATTGCTTTTGAATTGTGGTTTAACAGAAATATATATATTTTTTAAAAAAACAAGCATGATGAAACCCATAAACTAACTCCCAATCAGACTTATACACCTGTTGACAGGTAATTTGAAGTGCTCTAATTTGAACGTTTTGTTTTTTTTAAATTATTTTTTTCAACCAAAATTCCAAAGCAATGCCTTATTTCACTAAATTATAATTTTGCAAATTTTTATTTATTATCACTTTTTTCAGTTTCTTGTTACTTGAGCCACTATTGTGAGTTTTGCCTCTTCTTTAATGGGAGGGTGCGGATACATTTGTATGTGTTATTGAACAGAGGTGTGCTCACTTCCGGGTGTTTATTCATAACCGCTCGCGCACGTAGTTTTCCACTCGTGCGGTTCGCCCTACTGTAAATCTACTGTAAACTGCAAAGCACGCTGGTTTTGCACTGGGTGTGGCCGTTAACATGGGGGGAAAAAACACACACAGTTTACCCACACACACGTCTTCACAATCCACATAAAAAAACACACATTTTCCCCGCGTGTGGAAGCAACAAACTCACCGGAGGCTGCGGCCAAAGCGGCCGCAAAAAGGCACAGGCAGCCGGGCCACGACGTGGAAGTCAGGGGCGGCCACATCTCCGTCCGTCCGTCGAGCTACACGGCCGCAAAACGAGGCGCTGTTTCCGCTGCGAAGTCACACAAACATACCGGGATCCAGCGCAGTCGGGACGGACTTAAAGCTCAGCTATCGGCGGTGGAAAGAAGCTGAAAGTGAAAGTTGACAACCTCCAGCGACTCCCGAGTCTCCACCTCCGACCTCACATCTGCGCATTCACACGCGCATGTTTATATTTTTATACCCAGCAACAAGGCTTTAGCATTAATTCAACTCATGCAATCAAAAAAAAGCTTAAATTTGCTGTTTAAAAAATAAAAATTAAATCAGAATTGTTCCCTTTTCGGCACTTTTCCGCCCTCTGGTGGCCACATGCTGCTACTGCGCTTTGCCGACACGAGAAAATAAATCTATTTTTATCATATGAGTGGCAAATAAATAAATGTGTGCCAGCTGATTAACAAAAAGAGCAATAAATAATTCACTCTTGTTCTTGGAGATTAAAGCACAGACGTGACACTTTGGCCCCAACCTGAGGCGACGCCGTTAATTCAGGTGCTAATGAGTTAATACTGTTAGTTAATCAGGTTAATCAGTTTTTTCTTTACCTACACCTGGCTCGGAGCATGTGTTTTAATGTCTTTGGTTGTGTGCATGAGACCGAGGAGAGTCGTTCTTTAGGATTTATTTAAAATGGCACAAAAAGTGAACATTTATTTTTATTTTTTCATGTTACCTCATGTTGACGGTTTTACATTGATGTTAATAATGAGAAAGGAGGCAAACAAAGTACAACATGCTGCTGCAAACACTCACGGCAGCTACGCTGATAATCAATGAATAAAAAAAATGTTTTATTTTTTTTAAGAAAAAAGTCAAAATTCATAGTTTTTTTTTTTGCTCCTCTGTGATAGTAAATTGAATATCTGAATTGAATATTGTGGGAAACACAAAAGCAAACCACACCTTCTACACAGGTGACAACCAGCCAGCAGGTGAATTAACGGCTGATAAATGCAGCGTTCAAATGCACTACAGTATTCCAGTTAGCTATTATTTGCACAGAAGTGCTTAAAAAAACAAAGCAAGAATTAAAAGTTTCTCTCAAATAGCTTGCAAACGTTATGCACAGGCTGCAAAATATAACTGAACGACTTCCATAATTGTGCCCATATAGTCAACAACAGCTTCAGTAAAGAACAAATGCAGAAAAAAACTCAAGACAATTAGCAGCAACAACAGCTGCAGAAAGAAGTGAAATAAACACAACCAGCCAGCAAGTGAAAACCAGAAATAATAGGGTTTGTTTGACTCACGGCTCTAAAGAAGAGCCGGCTCTTTCAACTCCCAAAGAGGGAGCCGTGCCACAAGAACCGACTCTTTGAAAAGAGCCGAGCTTCCCATCACGAGCTGCTTGGCAGAGGTCTGCGCTCTCCGAGGTCATTGGATGTATTCAGTAATTACATGCATTCAGTTCAATTAAGGTCTTTCTCTATTTTATTTTCTGAACTTCAATTTATTTATTTTTTTTATTCTTTTTTTCCCCTTCAGCAATTAAATGCATTCAGTTCAGTTGAAGTTTTTCTCTTTTTTATTTGGTTTAAAAACTTTTTTTTTTTTTTTTTTAATTCTTTTTTTACATCAGCCACTTGCATGCTCTCAATACATTGAATAAATTGAGAGACTGAAAAAAAGACAAAAAAACAAATTAAAGGCTGATTTTTGAAAGTGCTGATGCCAGTGCACTCACTGGATCGGGGACTTTCTTAAAGGCTGGACCATTTTGGTCGGCCAGTGTCCTCTCTTGGAGTCATTGATGGAGCCACTTTGGTTTGCTCTCTGGGGCAAATATCCACTTGAACCGTAACCGTTCAGGGGGCGTCTCTGGTGGTGGTGGGTTTTGCCCCTGTGGTCCCACTGTGGCCTCGACCTTTCCCACCGGTTGGAGTTGGCCCTGTTGCTCTGGCAGTTGCAGTAGCAGCAGAAGTCACCTCTCTTGGTCCTTGGAGCAACCCCGGCACAAAGAGTGCTGCTTTGTCCCGTTGCATTTGAGGGTCTGCTGTACTGAACAACTCGGGACACTTGTCTGTTGTCCCGAGTGGGCCTTGCATTGCCGTGTCTTTGGCTCTGAGTAAAATGTCTCTTTCCTTGAGGGCCGGTGTTCCATCGTCTGCGGGCACCCATGTTGTGGCTCCTCTGGCTTTCTTGTCTTTTTTTGTTTCCTGCCATTCCAGTAAGTCCTTGAGACCAAACTCCTCCAGTGTGCCAGGCCTGTTGTGGTCTGCACATTGAAGCCATCGTTCTCTGATACTGGGCACGATGTCTGTGGTGTGCCCTCGTATCAGAGAAATTATTGAGCACTGACGCAGAGTTTCTGGCCAACTTGCTGGTCTTTGGCAGAAATGAGGAGCAACTGACCTGTTTTTTGACTCTGACCCTGTCACCATGGTGATAGACTGTAAACATTCGACTGTCAGAATGCTTTGGAGGCAGCACTCTGCAATGGCAGGAGTCATTCATTCATTTATCATTCATTTCTTCATTTGTCACAATATTTGAACAACAAAACTTTGGAGATTTGCCAACTTTTAGACCCAGAGATTTGGGTTTGACCTTTTTACAAACCCATTTGCTATTGATGTGGTCGGTGCTGCAGAGCATTCACAGTTTGAACTGACAGAATTACAGCAAATGATTTGCTTATGGCCGAGTTTAACTCCACTGGGACGGGCGAGTTTGTGCCCTTTATTCCAAACACGATGCCACAGCTCCAGCACAACAAACGGTGTGGTGACTAAAAACAGTTTTTTGCATTTAAAGACCATAAAGACGGAGAGAGACTTTTAATCCTGAGCATATACACTTCTGAAGTCATTTTTTTCTTATCATTGAATGCATATGTTTGTGTTCTTAGTTATATTAGAAGCCAGTAACCACTGCAGATTTGCGATTCCATTAGCCGAGACATCTGGGATTTATTACACATATCTATGACTACTGCTATTACTTAAAGAAGAAGAAAAGCACTGGGAGAGCGCAGACCTCCTCCAAGCAGCTCATTTTCACCATATTGTGTTTTCCAGCCAATGCTAAAGTCCTGCATTCATTTTATCGACACTATTAGATTCATAGATAATCAAAACACACCTCCAGCATTTGAATTAACATTGACATCATTTATAACAAGCTGTGACTAACGGTCGTTCTGCACTCTCAAATATTTTGTACACTTATAATCCACACATTAATTGACAATGAGAACAATCCCTCTGTGTTTTATGTGTTGTATCATAAATCAGGTGACATCTTGATGGATCATTCGCCCAATGGTTCCGTGGTATCGGCCGGGTTCAGAGGCTCCAGCTGCAGCCACAGGCCTCCCTCTGCACGCAGGACGAGCTGGGGCAGACGGCGAACTCCCCCGGAGCTGCCGCCGAGCTCGGGGTTCGCCGCCGGGGTCAGACGGAACCTGAGGAGGGTCAACGCCACGACAACCCGCAGCTCGGCCAGGGCAAACTTCTGGCCGATGCAGTTCCTGCGAACAGACGCGGGTTAGTTTCTCTACGTTCCCAGTTGTGTCTGATCTTATTTGGCTTAACGCTACGTGACAGAACTGAACCTGGGGCCTGAGGAGAAGGGGATGAAGGCGTGAGAGGCACGGCTCCGTGTGCTGGTCGGGTCAAAACGCAGAGGATTAAACTCCTGGTGAGGGAGTAAATCACACAGGTTAGACATGGCAGACTTGCACCAAAGTGAAATTAAAAGTAGACTGAGCAAAAGAATAAACATTTTGAAACTAATTTCTACTGCTGCCATTTTAAAAAAAGGGTAAATTTAGCAACGTTTTGAGCTGTTTAACCAGTGACATGCAGTGAATCCACACCCTCATCAAGTGTTTGGTTGCTGCATGTTACTCCAGTGTGTTCAAAAGAATCAGATGTAATCTTTTATTTTGTTAAGATCATTTTATAAAGTGCTTACGTGTGGGTTTGTCCAGGCGGCAGGGTTGTGGTGTGTCCCATAAATGCTGACCAGACAGATTGCACCTGACGAGGGTTTACAGGGAAAAAAGAAGTATTTGGAGTCAAGACAAGGTTACGATAATACACTGGTTTCACTTCCTCAATTCATTCAGCGTTCATTCAGTTCATTCCTGCTGCTTTAAAAATGTGAATTAACGGCACTTCAGATGATTAATTACTTCAAATTCATCACTTGAGTTGTGAAAGTTTAAAACTAAAACAACTGAACTGAACCAAATTAAATTAACTGGAGAAAACAAGTTTAATAAACTCAAGATATTGAATTAAATCAGGTAGTTACAGAGACACGGACAGTTTGTAAGAAAGTTTTTTCTCCGTTTCTTTAACTTTGAGAGCTTACAGCCTGAAAAATAGATTCAGTCGGTACAAAGACAATCTGTCAAGTCTGCTTAGAGGCGACTTTTATTACTTTAACCTCTTTAAGACCTGGTACACATACATGGACATCACATTTTGGGTGATATTACCACAGTAGTGTTTTTAAAATTGTTTTTTTAAATTGTTTTTATTTTGTTATTATTATTTTATTATTGTTGCTTGAAAAAAAATATTTTAAAAATCTTTATATATATATTCTTTCTATTTATTATTTTTATGTTTTATTATTATTTAATATTATTAAATTATTATTGTTACCTTAAAATATATATTTATTTTTAAATACATATTATTTTATTTTATTTATATTTTTGTTTTTATTTGCATTTTTTATTTTGATTTTATTCTAATAAAAAATGCATATCAAACAAGAAGTCAGGTCTTAAGAGGTTAAACTTATTTTAATCAGCAGAGTGAACTCTCAGCTCTTGATGTCGTGTCTGTCAAATTTCTGTTTTGTGTGCACGTTTTATGTCTTTCCTGTTTTATTTTGAAGTCACTTCACTAGTTGTTTCTGTCTCAGCTTTACTTCCTGCACCTGTCTCGTCTCACCTGTTCCCTGATTACCTCCCCGCACCTGTGTCCCGTCTCCCCTCATTACCTCGTGTATATCACCCTGTGTGTCTCACTGTCTCGTTGCCAGTTCGTCGCACTTTCTCAGTCTTCATACCGGCGTTCTTCCAAGTCGTAGTCACAGTCTGTTTGTCACGACCTTGCCTCTGTTTTTGGACCTTGCCTTTTGCCTCTTGATTTTTGGATACCTCTGCCTGATTTGACTGACCTTCTGCGTACGGTAATAAACCTTCCTTTTTGCCTGAACCTCTTCTGTGTCGAGCATTTGTGTCCAGTCACTCTGTTCTGTGTGAGTTCATGACGCTTGAATCATTCAACTAAACATTTTTAGGTCAAAATACCTCAAGATATAAAAACTTATGTTTGATTTTTTTGCTAAAATGTAGACATTTTAGGTCCAGTTAAGTAAAAATGAGCAAAAGCCATATATTTACATTGACTAAACTGGAACAGATGAGTTAACTTGACGAGAACCTGTTCTATGTTTTCTGCCGGCACACTGGAACCATCTTCACTACTGTTTCACAAAGGGAGCACTGTGTGTGATTTGCTGCAATGCCAAGACACAGCATTTAAAGCCTTCAGCTCACCCTGTGGGACTGTGCGACCCCCTGGCAGCGCCATGTCCTGGGTGTACCTCCTGGTGACGGCCTGCACAGGAGAGTGGAGTCTCAGGCTCTCCCGGATGCACATGGTGGTGAAGGGAAGGTTGGACAAATCCTCCCTTTGGATTCAGAGATGTACATGTAAATGCTTCTGATGTAATCACAGTCACATGACCATTGGCTGATTCGGTGTGTGTTTTCTGACCACTCTATTGCGTCTCTGTCCCGTCCCTGCATCAGGTCCATCACTTCCTGCCTGCATTGTTCCTGGTAGTGTGCGTGTCGGGCTAAATTGTAGAGCGTCCAGCAGATCGCACTGGCTGTCGTGTCATGACCTGCAGGGAGTAAAGGGATGGTTTGATTTTAAAGTGTCAAAGCAACAGTGCACCTACAGACATGGAAGAACAATGAAGTACTTTGAACAAAATATGGATCAATCTGGATGAGCAGAAGTGAGTTTTATGTCACTTATATGGCAAAAATATTCAGAATTATATCCCCTCTCAGTAACTGCAGTGTTTTTAAGTTGACAAATAGGGAGTTTCCTCGTATGAACAATTAAAAAAAACCCCACAATTTTAGAAAGATTAGATTTAAAATACTGGCCCCAAAGTAGAAACTTAATGCAACAAAGGTAAATAAACTTGTGGTCACTGACACACACACACGTTAGAAAACCTGTGATTTCTGAACGAGCTGTGAAAAGCAGAACCTTCTCAGTTTTTGAACTATCTGCATGTCTGTGTCACGGCTCCACATAGAATAAATATGAACAGAGGAACTGAAAAATCTAACGGCGAAGCATCACAAAGATGGAAAAGATTGCTGACCAACCATTTGAAGTAATCAGGAAGTCCAGAATGAGTCACAGTGCTGCTAATCAGAGCTGCAGTGGCCAAAAATAACACCACAGACTGACTGACTGCACTACTTTTACAAAAAAAAACAGAAGGGCAAGTGGGTCAGACTTGGCACAGGGTTTGTTGGTGGAAATCAGAGTTTCTGTGTCAGCTCAGACAATGTGAAGGACGGTTCATAACATCTACCGCGATAGACAGTGTGTGAGGAAAAAAATTTGGAGGAATAAGAGGTCAGCTTTAATGGAGGTGGCTCAGGGTAGCAGGAGTTAGCAGGCCCTCCCATGAGTTACATCTAGAGCAGTCCAGAGTACAGGCACAGTCTGCTTAATACCAAACATCTTTCTACAGGGGTTATACTGGTTGGCCCAGTCAGGACAGAGTCATGGTTGCTAAAAAAATTACCAGACTTTAGTGACGCAGTAGGTGTAAAATATGAAATAAAATGTTGTCCTGCATGAATTGCTTTATTTTAGCTCACATTAAACTTCATGATGCGCAAATTTATAAGTTGATATTGTCTCCAAGTGTATTCTGGGTAAAACTCGTCACCAACCGTCCACCAACTTCTTCATCAGTCGCTTGTCAACAGGTTGTGAACTCGGTCGAGCATTTTTACGTTAAGTTAACATGAGTGGAGCTTCATATCAAAGCGAAAAGAAAGGGAACAGAGAGAGCAGGAAAAGCCAGATTACAGAAACTGGACACATGTTTTGTTCATCGTCCTGGACATGAACTGGACTTTTTTTGTTGGCAGCGATTCAGGCCCACCAGAACTGCCAGCACAGCGAGGGAGCCAGGTTAAGTCCAGGTAGCAGTTCTAACAATGACTACACACAATGTGTGAGTTAGTTGTAAACTGTTGGTGGTTGTAAATTGTAGCAGCCCAGCCGCTTAGCTTCTAGAATAACCGCTATCCGTGGTGCTGAACTGCTCTGAGTTTGTGTTGTTTTATCATCAGTGACCATGTAGCCTCATGTTGTTGTTGTTCTCTTGGTTCTACTTCATGTCCGTCTGATGGACTTCAGAATGACATGGCCGCTCTCCGTGGTGCTGAAGCTTGTGTATGTTGTAAAATGATGTCATCATGAGCTTTATTATTTGGGTTTAAAGGGCCTGGTCTTTTGCCCCGCCCCCGGCCCGGCTCTGATTTGTTCTGCTTGTGCAACCAAGCACACTCCTACATTCACAACTACGGACAATTTAGAATCACCAATTAACCTCAACATGTTTCTGGACCTTGTGGGATGAAGAACCCGGAGAGAACCCACACTGCATGAGGAGAACATGGAGACTCCACGCAGAAAGATCCTCACCGGGATGCGAACCAGCGACCTTCTTTTATGGACCCTACTTTTATAGATAGCACCATGAGAATACTGGCTTGGCAGAAGAACATTCCTGCATGTTAACTATCCAAAGCTCGCTGTCAGAATTACACAAGACTTTCTAAAGAAGAGCATGACCTGGTGTCGCCTGACTAGAATCCAGTAGAACACCTTTTGAGGAGAGACCGTTATCCTGTACTTAAAAACAGAGGCTGCTGTTTATTAACAGCCACATCTCACCTGCGAACATGAAGGTGTTGGCCTCAGCCTGTATCTCCTCGTCTGACAGGCCTCGTCCATCTTCATCCTGCATAAAGCACACAAGAATGTTTCAGAGTAATGCAGGATTACGTTACGGTACTTTTAAAGCAATGCAAACTGTTCCTCCATAGCTGTCTTTAATTCTCACCCGTTAAGCAGCTTTTATTACAGTTTAATTACATTCCTTCGTCTGTTCTACCTCTGACAGCAGAATGATGTCCACAAAATCTTTCTTCCTCTGTGGTGCTGTGGTGCGGTCAGGTTGCGTTTCTGTCTGGTCGATGAGGGCTCGGCGCTTCTGAACCACCTCCCTGGTGAATCTGCAAACCACACAGGGAATAGATTTACCATACGTCACATCTAAACATTAAATTTTACTATGTGCTACTCTGTAGGATATCCACATAGGTAACCAAACACTACCTGTGCACAATGCTCAGTGCTTGTTTGAACTGTTTCCCCTGCTGTGTTCTCCAGTAAATCCAGTCCCAGTGGTGTAAAATGTTCTGCCGCCGATCTATTATCAGGTCACTGAGCTGCACGATGGCCGACACGTACTCACTGGTCGACCTGGAGGGAGAGCTTTCATGAAAACATACGTAGATTTACAGCAGAGATGGAGACACGTCAGCTAAAAGTGGGCGTCCTCACTCCTGACAGTTGCTGTTGTGGCTGAAGGCGCATTTCAACAAACTGTCCAACGTCATCAGGGTGATGTGGTCAAACATCTCGAGAGTCGTCCGGCCTTCTGCCACCAGGCGGCGCCACTTATCCTGAAAAACAGATGGCAAATGGAGACGATATGCAGTCGTCCTCAAATGTATTCATACCCTCCCATTAAAGAAGGAAAAAAATGACTGGAATAAGTTGAAATTGACAAAACTTGTAAATAAAAATTTAATGAAAATCATGACGTTGCTTTTGAATTGTGGTTCAACAGAAATATTTTTAAACAAAACAAGCAAACAAGCCTGATGGGACCCGTAAACTAATATTTTGTTGAACAACCCTTTGAGTCAATCACTGCCATCAGGTGTTTTCTGTAACTCTCAGTCGGACTTCTGCACCTGTTGACAGGTATTTTGATTTCACTGCTCGTCAGCAAAGTGCTCTGATTTAACAGATTTTTTTTTTAAATTATTCTTTTCAACCACAATTCAAAAGCAATGTCATATTTCACTAAATTATAATTTTGCAAATTTTTATTTATTATTTCTTTTTTCAGTTTCTAGTTATTTGATTGTGAATTTAGTCTTTTCTTTAATGGAAGGAGATGAATATATTGGAGGATGACTGTACATGTAAGGTCTTTTCCATACAATACACCTCTTGGATTAAAACTGTGTGTGATAAATCATGCTACACATTTGAGCATTTAATTAGTTATAGATCCTCACAGTAGGTTGTAGTTTGGCAGCCAGTGTTTGTTGCTGCAGACACTGAAGGTCAGACTGAGGTGTTTGTATGTTTCTGTCTTACGTGCATGGTGTTGGTTGAGGAGTTAAACTTGGCGACATAGTTCTTCAGAATATCAAAATGAAAAGCAGGAGTCAGCAGTCGCCTCTTGCGAGACCACTCCTCTCCGTTGCTTATCAACAGACTTTGTCCTGGAACAGAAACAAAAGTGAAGTTGTAATCGCTGTCACTTCATAGAAAACATCACTTTGATTCATTTTGACTCACCCAGCCACGGACGCAGGTGGTCGTAGATGAGCTCGTCTTTCACTGTGATGCTGGCTTGAAGTCATAAAGGATGTAATGGAGGAGAAAAGAACATTAAGACGTAGCTTTTATAGCGAGGTTGCCTCACTGTGTGATTTTGCCCTACCGGGTGCCATGAGCAGCGGTTTGACGTAGTCGGGGTGGAAGAGTCTGACCAGGTGGTAGAAAGGACCGATGAACCAGCAGCAGGAGTGTTTGTACCGCCGCACCAAGTCGTCCACCTGCAGGAGGCCTTCTTCGGTGCTCTGCATCTAAGGCACAAATAACTGTGAGTTTGTTTTAACCCAAAACAAAACTTGGTCATTATGCATTCCTTGCAAAGAGCCGCTGAATTCCCCTGCAGCCCTTTGAGCCAAAGAGGAAATTTAATAAGAATGTTTTGCAACAGAGTGCACATCCTGTATGACTGAGAAATTCACTGGTAAAATTTTCTGGCATGTTACTGGACACAACAGAAAAGGGTTGTGCAATATTATTTCAATGCCAAATGACTCGTATATCTCCCAGTAATTGCAGTACATCTAAGTAGACAAGTAGAGCACTTCATCATAGGTCAGAACATAAACAGCACGAACACAGCTGTAAAATGAGCACCAGGACTTTGTGTTTTAGGGTCTGTACCAGGGCTGGAAAATAGAAAATCTAGTCTGGGAAGTGTTTAGATCTTATTTAAGGAGTTAGACATATTGTGTTATATTTCGGTTTTAAATTTGTACATTGTACACCTGGATTTGGTTTCAATTTATATTTGTGGTAGTTTTGCTGTCATGTTTAGTCTGTGTTGTTCTGTTTGTTTTTTATTATTATTATGACAAAAATTCAATAAAAACTTTAATAACAAAAAGAAAATGGTAAATCTAATTGTGAGGCAAACAATGATGCAGGAAGATCTGTGAACCCTAAATATCAGTCAAAAGTAGGTGCAGCAGTGATCAGGAGGAAGAGCCATAGTGCCGCTAATCAACGCTGTGAAGGTCGTTTGTTACTGTGATATGTTCCTATTAAGTATGTAAATGATGCTGCGCCGTAGCGACGACCTGATTGGCTGATTAACGGAAGTTCCGGTATTAAACACGGAAGTAGGACTTCGCCGGTGTGCAGAGAGCGTCAGATGGGCGGGGCCATCCTTCACCGGCGCACAGATTCAGCGTTCTTATAGAAAATAGTTTTGTATGGATAGAGCGAGCTGCTACCTTTTTATTTAAACTCTTTTTCTCCTGTTTAAATTAAACAGGGAGGCCAGACTTTATGTTTACTTTAGATACTTTTAGTTTGATGGGTAAGTCCCGTAGTTTAGTGTCGTTGTGGTTGTTGTTTTCGGTGGAGCTCACTCTTTATTTTAAGTCAATCATCACCTTTGTTTCAGCATCACATTTTTATTCTGAATAAAAAAATAATTTTCTCTGTGAAACTGTTGTGGTGTGGCTGCTTGGGACCGTTGCGTTCAGGAACCCTTAGGCTGGGCGTAACAGTTGTTCTTCTAAAATTACATACAGACGGTGCAATATTAGAACAACTTGCCACAAAGGTTCTGAATAGAAATCAGAGTTTCTGTGACCTCTGTGGACGAGGTTCAAGACAAAGCCCTTGGTTGCTCTGTGGGACAAAACAACAAGATTAAACTTTGCTGAAGTACATGAAGAGAAGCCTGATGAATACTGGGAGCACGTTCTTTGATTAGATGAAACTATTAGTGAGGCACGACGTTAACATTTCTGGCCAATATCGACATTAAGATTTCTGATATATTACCGATGTCGATATTTAGTTTTTGTTCACACCCTAAGCACTGTGAGAATGTAAAGACTATTCAAAAGAAGCCCACATTAGACCACATAGTCTTCCTTATTATGTAATAAACATATTTTAACATATTTAAGTCCAGGACCATTTAAGTAAAAACATCTGTGAAACAGCAGCAACATCAAACGTAGAGACGAAGGCGCTAACGTTAGACAATCATCGGCTAAATTTGTTCATCGGACCGATACCGATGTGGTTGCCGATATATAGTGCATCCCTACAAACTATGAAACATTTGTTCAAGCATTTTCGATGTGAACCTGTTCAGGACTCCCACAGTGAAGCACAGAGGTGGGAGTGTGATGATTTAGGGTTGCATGAGTGAAAAAGGTGTCAGGAAGATGACATTTATAGACGGTGGATAAACCAAAATCCTGGCTGACTCCCAGCCTGCAGATGTTTGGCACAAGAGAAATATTCCAGCATGGAACAATGACTCGACCCGAACATCGTTGTGCTATTTTAAAGGTAGAACAACAGAAGCTTTCTCTGGAGAACGGCTGTCGTTAACTTGCCCTACCTGACCCAGGTGTCCGACCAGCCACGAGTGTGTCTGTGGCTTTTTGAAGCAGGACAGCCGGCGAGTGAACCAGGCGTGACGAACCAGCAGCTTTAAAGTCCAAACCGCAGCCACGGCAACCAGCCCTGCACCAACCACATTCAGGACCAGACAGACGGCCTTCCAGCTGAGGACCTGAGAGAGGACACCCTGGAGGAGAGCCATCCTGGCACAGAAAGAAGCAGATTGAAACTGGTCCTGCTCTGACAGCAGCTGTGCTCACACTGTGACGCTTTTGATGTTGAAACATGCAGAAATCGAACTGCAATCATTTCAAAAGGGGCAACCGTTATGTTATGTGAGACACAACTTCCTTTGTCTGTTGCAGTAATTTCCCACCATCAGCTGACGTGCTGTTTCGTTGATGGGTGGCAGCGACGAGACAAAGACCGAATGATCTTTTAAATGCACTGCTTTTAATGTTTAAGCCTCAAATGAACAACAAAGTGAGGTTTTTACATTGTCTTCTGCAAGAACATGTCTTGTAAGAGCAGATAAAGTTGTCCAAGAAAAAAATAATAGTTTGAAAGTTTTCCTACATTTATTGTGTAATGTGTTACAATTGTTATGTCAAGCCCTCATCACAGCCACACCTCTGTGCTCAGGTTTATGACAAACATACTGGATCAAATCTAAGCCTAATTAATTTATCTTGCCAAAAAAAAAAAAAGTATTCCCAACAATCATCAGGCTTAGTACTTCGGTTTCTTCTTTTCAGACAATAGAAATTTTAGGAGATGCTTCTTTACCTGACATGTTTCGACTGGAACTTCAGTCTTCCTCAGAGGCCTCAGCTGAAATAAATAAATACATAAACAAATAAATAAATAAATGACAGGTCACGGTGATCAGCTGACGCCTCTGAGGAAGACTGAAGTTCCAGTCGAAACATGTCAGGTAAAGAACCATCTCCTAAAATTTCTGTTGTCTGAAAAGAAGAAACCTAAGTACTAATTCAAGAGCAGACAAAATTAACTTGCTAGATGACTCATCGGGCTTCTTCAAATATTCAAAGTTTCATCTTGCAGCATATTTGTGTTAAAGAGCAAACAAGGTCGTTTTTTTCTTGGACACGTTCCACTTTTTTCCACATTATGAGCTATCATCCTGTCTTAACAGTCTAAAAAGAATTAATTGTGCCAAGTTTAAAGCACTTGTTCATCTGTTTTTCAGAGCTATATGTGCAAACTTTTAATTGATCTTCATGGATCTTCACCTCTTTGAAGTCTCACAATCAGATTTTTTAAAGTTCCTGTGACATTTTTTTTCTCCATATGAAGACATGAAGCAGGCAGGCAGGTAGACATAACATACAAGTCAAGATGGTGTGTTCACAGGTCAACATACTACCATGTTTAATTGTATTCACTGAGTTTGGAGCCTGTATTTTTTGTTAATCTTCATATTAATATTGCATATCCTGCCAAATACTCTACACTGAGACTCCAGATATTTTTTGATCCTCTGCCAGTCAGATTATACATATTGGTAAATACAATTTTGATCCTACGAACTTGAATAAACGACCTTTTCAGCTTTTCTTCAACCGAGTGTTTGTATTTCCGAGCAGCTCCTGAAGGCCACACTAATTAACTCCCGGTGCACCTGCGAGAAGAACCGACGGACGCCGGAGATGAACAGAAAATGAGTTCAGAAACCTGAGCTTGACTTTTACCGACAGCCTGCATTTGAAAAGCCTGGAGCAGAAGAGGCTGTGGACGTTTTCAGGTGTAATGTTTGTACCTGTCAGTTTCAGGTAAGTTTTTAATTTAGCACATTTGTCCGCCGAAGCGAAGCAGCTGAACCGTGAACTGCTGTGGAGAAGGTTTCAGCACACCTGGAAACACTCTGGTTTTATTCAGTTTACACTTCTTTTTTTTTGTCTCTGTAAAATGAAAAGCTGCAACATGTCACATTTACTGCCCTGTGAAAGTTTTATATTTTTTCTTGACACAATAGAAATCAGAATTGTTGTATTTATCTGCTCAGGTTTTAAATCTTATGAGTTTATTAATATGCTTGTGGGTATTTCTGGTTATTTCTGTTTTTAAAAACTGCTTGAACATTGCCATACTTGTTCATTTTGTGCAAAGAGACCATAAAATCTGACAGATTTTTAAAGATTTAAACGTATCCTCACAAATATAAAAAGCGGTTACTGTGCTTTGACCAGGTCCAAAAAGCTGCTTCAGTATCTGCACACTCTTAAGCAAGGATAAACTGAGTTATGGTACTAAATTAATACATGCAAAAGAGAATATGCTCAGAAATCACTGAGGACATGCTTCAGAAATGTAGAAGCGATAACTAAAGTCAGTCATAACATACTGAGGGGATGTTTTAGCTACTTGGAGTATTTCTTATTTTTGGGAGAACCTCTCAGGCTTCTGTTTCTGATGACACCATGTGCTGGTTACTCATTTTTCTTCTTGTGTTTCTGCGCCAGCATTTTCAGATCGACATAAATGAAATGGCAGAAAGCGATAACAAATGTGCCAACCGAAGAAGGTCTCCATCTGCTTCCTGCTCTCCTCTGCCATCTCGCCGCTGCAGCTCCACCCAAACATGGCTTCCAGCTGAATCTCCTCCCTGCCATGATGGTCACGCCGAGCAGAACGAGGACTCTGGGAGCGCACGTCGGCCGTCTTGCTTCTATGAGGAGCTCTTCTGTAGCAGCCAGACTTCCATCCCACTGGCTGGTGCCCTCATGACCTCCTCTGGACCGCAGACCGATGTGGTGAAACAAGGCTACCTGGGGAAGCTGGAGCGGAACCACAGGAGATATTTTGTCCTGAGAGCTGGAAGTCACACGGGGCCGAGTCGACTCGAGTGGTACAAGAGCCAGCAGAAGTTCACAGCAGTGGAGAAGGCTGTTGGCAAAGCTGCGCTGTTTGAGTCGAGCAAGCAAGGGTTGGTAGAAATAACTTCTAACTAAAGGCCTCCCCAGTTTGCTTTAACTGACACCATCAGCTAAAGGGTGCTAAACACTGAGCACACTGTTTATTAGCCACAATGATCAACCTGGTGGGTAACAAACATGCTCTTGGCATGTTCTGTGTGTTACTTAGTCTTTTGTAGCCATGTGATGAGGCTTTAATTTTTTGTAGGAATATGTGGCACCGTTACAGTATTCCCAAATGAGTGATGACAGATGCCTCTTGTTAATCTGGGCGGAAACATGAATCAACTTATTTACTGTCTGTACGCTACCTGTAGAAACATTATAATCTAAGCTGAACTTTAATGGAGTTGTACTTCTCAGGGTGATATACCTGCGCTGCTGTCTGGGTGTGAGCCGGGTTGGCAGTTCCAGGAAAGGCCACACGGTGGCGCTGTACGCCAAGGACCAGACCATGGTGCTGGTGATGGAGGACCAGCAGGAACAAGAAGACTGGTACGTCGCCATGAAGAAACTGATGGAGGAAGAGCAGAAGGATGAAGAGCTCGATGAAGAGGATGATGGGTATTGCACTCTGCCTCCTGCGACTTTCTTCAAAGAGGTTGGTTGAGAGCCTGGTTTCTTTTTTCTTCTTTACAAACAGATATAAATCTACATGAAGTAAACAGTTGGGTGAAGTTGATTTATAAGTAGACATTTAAAAAACACTTATGAATAACTTTCTTCATACTTCTTTTGACTGGTATTCAACAAGGCACAATTATATCATTATTATAACTTGTAAAACCTCCAAGAGAAGTAAAAATTAAATCCAGTGTCAGTAATACTAATGCAGGATAAGTGACAATATTGTTCAGAACAAACCTCCTGCTTTGTCACATGACAGCTGAGTCACTAATGCAGGGCTTCAAACTGTGTTTTTCACTGGTAGCCCCACGAGTAAGAAACTTGGTCGCNGGAGTTTCCTTCAATGAAGAATCTTCAGCAACTGGGGCCTCCAACAGCCAAATCCAGATCAATGGACCAACCAAGCTGCCATCGCCTGAGCAAGACGTCAGGTGAGTAAGCTTTTTAACTTCTCCCCACAGCCTGCAGAGGGCGCTGCTGCTCATTCACTGGGGACACGGCTTTGACCAATCAGAGGATGAAATGTAATAAATACATGAAGATAAAGTAAAGAGCTGAAAGCAGCAGCTGCAGTCCATGATTTTCTACACTGTTGACTGATTTCATCTACAGACATCACAGAATGTAATGTAGTAAAAATACAATATCTCTCTGGCATGTGGGAGAGCTAGACGTTCATATATAGTATTTTTACTTTATCAAGGATCCAGCACTGATTCAGAACATCACAGGCAGCAAGCTGTTAATCTGTAACCAACTTCTCCAGCAACAGATGCAGCTTCATGTAAGCACAAACATTTTATTGAGTGTGATGCAAAGTGCTTGGCTACTAAACACAGACACTGAATTTACATAGCAAAACATGAATGGCTGTCTGTTGGGGAGGAGCTGTGGTTTAAACTTCGCTCTCCCTTTGTTGGTGCACAGATATGTCCATATCTGTTGGCACACGATTTATCCAATCCGTGGCATTCGCGCTCTGTAAAGAGCAACCGTCCTGCTAAGATCTCCCGCTCTCTGGAGCTGCTGCCATTACCTCGTAGGGGGATGGTGTGCTTATCAGTGCAAGGTACTGATAGGTAACATTATCTGAGCGTAGTGTGTATGTGTGTGTATGTGGGTGTGTGAGCAGCTGCATTGTTTCTATCTGACCTGGCTTAATCACTCTGAGTTCAGTCTCTCAAGGCCTGGGACTGATGCTTGAATCCTTCTTTCATTTTCTTTAGATCAGCTCAACTCATACATTTTTACACAATAAATCGTGTGGATGTCAGTGCTAAGCTATCAGTGCTTTTACAAAATAATATTTACCAACAGTCACCCTGTAAGAAGCAAATGTTTCTTTGGTTGATTATATTTTTGACACTTTTTGTCACCCACAGTTTGTTGTTGCAGTAAAAGGAAATTTACTTTTGTGGAATGATGGAGGCCTCACAAAAAGANTGAACAGAGGATGTTTTTCTGAATCTGATGGAGAATCCTGCTGCTTTGGAAAAAGGACCTGAACTAGTTTGAAGAACACAAAAACAAACTCTGAGATGTGATGAAGAAAGTCAGCAGTAAAGCAGCTCCTTCCTTTACACTCTGAGTCCTGGTGCTTTGTTCTTCATAAAGACACATCACTGCTCTGAGTTCTGGTTCAGCATCATCATTTTTTATTCATTTGTTTTTATCATTCATGTGATACCAGCTACATTCAATGCAGCAACAACAACCAGGTGAAGTACATGCAGATGTAGAGGACAATCTTTATCCGAAAATCAGTATGTCGTCTGCAAAATGCACAGGCAGCTGCTGTTCACATCCAACTACAACAGCTCTGTTCTTGAGAAGCTGACCCTTGTACTGACAGTGGGGTTTCCTGGCTCCCTCATTCTTCAGTTCACACACAACAGTTTTAAACAGTGCGTTACTCTTTGTCAACAGCGTGTTTTCATACTGTGTTCCTTGACCCTGACAAATGGCTTTGATGCTATTAGGACTGCCAAGGATGAACGAATTTTTGTCTTTACAATAGTTGTTTTCAGCATAGATGCGCTTGCGTGACATCTCTGCATCGCAGTCGTCTGCAGTTATCTTGCCGCCGATGTGCTGTCTACGAAACTTTTCATAGCGTGTTTCTTGTCCCTGTCCTGTTGCGAGCCCAGAGACAAAGAGCAGCACCAGCAGCAGGAAGGCAGAAGACATCTTCATCATTCCCTGGTGAATGAAAAACAGGAACATTTTTTTGAAGTTGAGAAAAAGTAATAGCATCCAAGGGTTTACATCCTTTGGCAGGAACGCAAAAAAAAAACTACAGAACAAGAAACATGAAAACAACACATTACATGAAAGTCCATCAGTGTGAGATAATGAATAGAATGAATAAACACAATCAATAAAAGGCCATACCTGTTGTGACTCGATTGTACTGACTTCTGTTAATCCTAACGACGCTGCCTGGATGGGCCTGGGGTTCTCTGAGAAGAGGAGGC